GCTGCTGTTCACCCCTATTCTGATAGGGGCCGAACAGCAGTGAGTGAATAGCTGAATGCCATCGAGCGGCATTTGGCTCGACTATTTTGCTCACTACCTCCAAGGTACTGGGCAGAATTGAAAATAAGTGAATTGAATAATGAAAAAAAAAGAAGTGTTGAAAAATGATTGTAAAAATGTAAATAAATAGTACAATAAAAAAAATTAAAACAGTTTAAAGAAAAGAAATAAAAAAAGAAAATTACAAATAATAAAAACAAAACGCCGGCAAAGATGTCGGCAAAAGAAAAACAATTGGGCAGAGCTAACAGCGACACCTATCTCCGTTCAACTGTTTCAAATTGCCCAGCACCTGCCAGAGTCTTCTAGCAGGTCCTAGCCAATACATAACAACTGGGCGGAGCCGGCCCAGTTGTTATTGTTTAATGACAGATCAGCATCCCAGGTCATTTCCTGCGCTGGCTCCACCCAGCTGCCATTTGCACGGAGATCGGTCGGCTTCGGCCGACCTTTCTCCATGCTTCGGCTGTCACTTCGGCTTAGCTTAGCCGAAGCATATGCCTTTGGCTTGGCTGAGCCACTCGGCTGCCTTCAGCTGCTGTACGGGCTATTAAAAATAGCCCATACAGCAGCCCTTCAGTTCGACTGAACTGAAGGGCTCCAGCGGCTGAAGAAATCAGCAATATATTAAATGAAAATCATCCCGTGGTGGTCCAGTGGAGGATGGGTATGATCTGCATCTCTTGCTGACCCATACCATTCTAATCACTCTCTCGTGGTGCCATCGCTCACAGGAAGGAGCAATTAGTATGGTCTGCTTCAGCCAGGGATGCAGATCACATTGATCCTCCACTGGATCACCAGGGATAAGCCCCAAGTGCCCCACTGGATCCCAGGGATGCAAAACAGGTAAGCAGGTATTAATCATATTAACTTTTAATTATTGTTAACAGTTATGTGTTTTTATTGAGTGTGTGATATGTGTGTGTTTTTTAATGAGTGTGATATCTGTGTGTGGTTTTTTTTCTGTATAAATTTTGTATTATTTTATCACAAAAGACAAGACAGTTGAAGACAATGCAGTAGTATACAATACATGGTGTTTATATTATTTTCAAGATCGTATGACAAGGTATAACAGAGGTTACATGGAGATTGATGTGTTAGGGTGAGTTTGCATGAGTACTAATCTTTCCTGGTCGATGAAGTCTCGTTTAGAGGCAGTTGTCTGTCCATGAGGGAAAGACAGCGTATTTAGTCTAGACTGTAGCTCAGTGTATAAGCAGATTGATTAGTAAGTTGGTATCACCCAACATGGGTGGATGACCTTGTAACTTCATGGTATAAGTAAAGGCACCATTAAATACTGACAGTACAACGAGAGACATAGGGGACACGCAGACAGGAGGGGAGGTGGTAGGTCGGATGGAGGGTCAGGTAGCAAAAGAAAGGGAATATGTCGGGCCGAGCTGAAGCACTAAAGAGCAAGCCAGGGGGCGATGGTAGAAGGTCCTTTCACAGAGTGCAAAGGCGTCGAGGGGTAGTCGGGTCTAGGTACTTGTCAAACCAAGGGGACCAGATAGTCTCAAATTTGGTCATTTTGTCCTCAAGTTAAGCCGTATGTTTTTCCTGGGCCATCACCCAATTGACATGGGTTATGACACAGGCAATGCTCAGGGTTCTGTGTGTGTTTTTTAATGAGTGTGTTATATGTGTGTGTTTAGTGAGGGTGTGTGTGATTTATGTGTGTGTTTATGAATGTGTGTGATGTGTGGGTGTGTTTTATGAGAGTGTATGATATTTGTGTGTTTTTATTTGTGTGTGATGTGTGTTTTTATGAATGTGTGATTATGTGTGTGTGATTAAATGTGTTTGTATCTGTGAGTGTATAAATGTTTGAATATGTGTGATTCCCTATTTTGCCTAAGGCAGTGATACTGAATGTTTTTGAAACCCCAGTGCCAAAACTAAAACACAATACCAAACTTATTTTCAGTGTTGGCACTTTGAGTTAAATAAATTTATTTTGCATTGCAGTTTGGGCACTCGGATTCAAAAACGTTAGCCATCACTGTTGTAGAATGTGGGTGTACATATGTGTATAACAGTCTGGAAAAACTGATTGTTACTTAGTATCTGATCACTCCTATAATTTTTTTTTAATCTGCATGTGAAAGACATTATCTTTATGTAAACAACCTATAAGTGGTTCTGCTTTATTGCTACCTGTCGCAAGGCAAGAATATCTACACAACTCACTGGTGTCCACTGAGTTAAGAAAACGAGACGGTTCACTTTACAAAGTGAATATTCACATAGCTGTGTTTACTTTATTCAACCAATGTGTGAGGTTTTTTTTGTCTTATTTTGGATATTCAAATTAACACAGGTTCATCCTATTTACAATAATTTACTTTGCAAACTGAATTTACATTGTCAAGACTCATGTCCACTGAAACTTGCTAACTGGAAGCCAGCTATACCACCGGACACCAGTAGAGGGAGACACACCCAGATCTAGATAACTGGACAAACACCCGCAGATAAAAATCTTGCATACAATCTGGTACATTCTAAAGGTTGTATAGCAGCTAGATAATGCCCACACCCCTCTGAGATTCCCTAAGCCTGTTCTGTTTTCTGGAATTCCTGCAATATGTGCAAAAGTAAACATTTCAAAAGACAAGAAAGAAAATTACATACACAAATTTGGCTATTTGCCATAAAATAGGAGAACAAAATAGGAGAAAAACAGGAATACAATTTATGGTTTTGGGTAGTATCATGTTATACTGCTTGCGGGAGCACACGCAAAATTATAGCAAATTATCTTTACAAAACAACACCTGGAAGTATAACATTGTTAATTTCCATGCTATCTAATTTATAGAGGTATGGATTTGGAATAGACTCTAACCCTTGGAGTCCTTGATTCCTGAAGTGGATGTAGGTTGTATGGACCAGTCAGTTTTGATTGCTGTGTCAGAGTTAGGATTTTCGACACTAGGACATCATCCCTCAGTGAGTCCAAATGCCACAGAACTTCCACATGCATGGCCATACAACGATTTAGTCAGTCCTTAGGTTGTTCTAAATGGCCAGAACATACCACTCTGCATCTGCATTAAGTTTATTTTGCTTACTATCAGAAGAAATAACTCTCGTCTCCTTTTGACTCAAATTTTGAATTTTATGAGAGATGGAACATATTCCCTCTGATATAAGAAAATGACAAATGATTGCAGACAGTTTGGGGCCTCAGTGTGTAAAGATCTCTCCCTTTCTGCTGGGTTGTAGTCATGTGGTATCTAAAGATTATTTCATGGTTTGTGAGGTGACAGTTGATTAACTTTATCTACAGCAACAAGCCTACAAGTCCTTGTCAGAGATTTGTTAGCAGTGAGGTGTTATAACTCAAATGTCCATGCCACAAACAGTTTATTAAAATTCTAAATTGTAAGCATTTGGCCATACTACCGAACATTGAATGACAGTAGAATATCTGTAATATCATCGCCCTTCTATATTTAATATTACATACTCGTTTAATGTAAGCACGTATGTTGCCAAATGAACAGACTCTATTCCTTTAACTGCTCCGGGACCGCCCATTGTAAAAAAAAGTCCTGTCCTGAAGCGGTTATACCAAGAACACAGCTGCTGCTTGGTATCATTTTAAACAGCAGTGGATTGCTGTTTAAATACAAGCAATCTGATGGCTGAACAACTGTTGGATATGGTGCGGTGCTGTGTGCCCTCCCCCTGTGCTCCCCGTGCTCCTCTGTCCCCCGTACTGGCCCAGGACCGGTATGGTGGGTCTCCACTGACTGATCGGAGAGAGATCAGCAAGCTTCCAGCCGCTGATAGCTCCTCCGATCACTGGACCCGGAAGTGATGTGTATTACATCACTTCCGATGTCACTGTACATTCTCCGGCTCTTAAAGCCAGCAGAAGAAGCTGGGAAAGCAAATCTCTGCTTCCTCCACTTTTCAGGGGTCCCTAGGTGACATTAGGGGTCTGAAAGACTCCTGATGTCTCCATAAAGTGGACCTGTCACATTATATTTGTGATTTCATAGGGGCTTCTTTTTTTGCGGTTTCCCCGACGCACGCAATTTTAAGGCTTAACATGTTTGCTATACATTTTCCCGGCGTAACCCCGTCTTTTATACCTTTCCAAAACATTGGGTATTACATTCTGTTTCTGTGCACTAAATTTAATTTTAATGTATTTTATCCTAACAAAACTGGTTTGATAAACATTTGCGCAAATAGCTTGCGACATAGAAAACCACAACTAGCAATTGTTTATTCTACAGGGCCTCTGCTTTCAGAAAATATATAATTGTTTGGGGATCTGAAGCTGTTTTCTAGCCGGAAATTCAGATTTTATCATGTGTGTGCAAATAGTAAGAAATTGCTCTGGCCAGGAAGTGGTTAAGAAATCAACCCCAGTGACAACAAATGTGTGGCTGATAGCTTATGCCAACTGGGCAAAGGGAGGAAAACTGATTGCAAATTAGAGTGTGCTCTCTTTAGCGGCTGATCTACAAATCTCTTTATTTGAAACAACAAATATGGAAGAGCAATCATGTATAAATGGAAACGTCACATTAAAAATTATTGTAACAAAAAAACAGCAATAAGAAACCCAAATATGTGTCTAAAAAAACATACACTACACTTTCACTTTAACTTACTTATGCCATTATAAGGCATACACTTTTTAAACTTATAGAGCTATGTTAGCCTAGATGAAGAACCGTGTTTTAAAGTTTTATACTATTCATTTTTCATCTGCAACCCATTTACAGGGTCACAATGCTGTTTAATATGTGAGTATGTACTCTACACAATAATTTTCCCATGAGGCCCTTTCAGTATGAAAATATTCATGGGGTATTTGTTTTATGTTTTTGAACCGTTTCCAGTCCTGCACTGTTACAAGCATGTAATCCAAAGCAAAATTGAACTGGTAAAGAAAATAGACAATAAACAACCTTATCCTTCTTTCTCTTGCGTCGAAATCTGAGAAGTTCTTTGTGCTGCCTTGACACAAAATTGACCGCAGCATATTCCAATAATGCAGAAAAGACAAACAGGAGACAAACGGCCATCCAGATATCAATAGCTTTTACATATGACACCTATGGAAATAAGGAAACAGTGGAAAGATATTCACATTTAATAGGACTAATAAGTGTAAAAACAACTATATGTTTTGCATAATGTTGACATTTTCTTACGCATTACCAAGAAAATATTTTGCTACACCAATATAATAAAAATAGTTATTTTCAAGTAAGTTCAATTCACAGAAAGTACAATAGGTAATCTGTCAGGTGCAATGTTGCTGTGCTGTCATTAGAAAAGGTCAGGAAGATTGAATATCTTGACTCAGTACATTCAGGCAAAGTTTAAGATACATGTACCAGTCAACATTTGTGCAAAACATACAGTATATAAACATGCCATTTCCTGCTGATATTTCCTGTCAGCTCTGATACAAATAGGGATTAGGACTGCAGTGAACAATGTTTACACAAAGATATAGGGCTATTGAAAAAAGTGCAATAGTGATCACAGGGTAATAGCAATTATATCTAACAAGGAATTATAATGTACTACAGTGATTTGAGATCTATATGTGCCTTTATTCTCATCTTAGAAGCCGCAAAGTATAGAGAAGCAAATAATAGAATGGGCATATCATTTTGGATCAGCTAAACTGAAAGATATATCTTTCAATGAAACAAAGCTCATTTATCTATCTATTACTGTCTTATGACACAAAGGAGCTTAGGGTAAAGATGACATTAGTAGACTTTAATCTTTTTCAGTTGGTCAGTGTAGCATTTCCTAATGTTTAGAAATTGGAGACAATATATTATAGATCTTTAGGGGTGACCAAAGACCACAGGCATAATCCAACCGCTCTCAGACTAGAATGACAGCAGACGGTGGAAGAAAACTCCAAGCTTGGCCTTACTCTATAGAGAGGTGGTAAAGTGAGGAGCAGAGTAGGATGCCAGCTTATTGCAGTGATTTGTGCAGGTTTTCTAACCAGTCTGGTTAACTATATCTCCCAAGGGACATCAATCAGTGGTTATGCAGGTGTCCTATACACATGAGTTTATCGCCAAGCTTCTCACATTATTTAGCAGTCACTATTCATGTGTGGACAAACAAAGCAGACTGAACATTTTACAGAAAAGTCAGTGTTTGCTTCTTCTAGTGGCTAATCTACAAGTCTTTTCATATAAAACAACTAAAAAATACAAAAGGTCAAAGATGTAAAACTGTAGAAGTTAAACAATAACTTTAAAGTAAACTCAGCAATAAGAAACTAAAAAAGTGTGCTTAGTGAAAATACGCTATATTTCCATTTAATGGAGGCATGCACTAATCTTACAGAGCTATGTTAGTCTAAAGGAGGCATTTTTCTTTAACTGATTTAGGCCCCATTCCAAAGTGTAAATTCCTCTGTGAGAATCAGCTACAGACGGGTGACACTGTACAAAACAATTACAGCTGCCACCTCACACTAGGTAATTGTTGTGTAATGTAAAGGTGCCCATACACTCTACAACCCTTGCAAGACTTTTGTCTTGCGAGGGTTGTAAAGTACTTACAAAACGTACGATCTGCCCATCTTGGACAGGCAGATCGTACTTGCGATCATCGCAAGCACGCCCCCCTGAGGGCCGGGCTTCCGATGACTCCAATGCTGAACGGGCAGTGTGCACGTGCGCACACCGGCCCGTTCTGCAGTGATCTCTCGATCATGTTAAAAACCAGCCGAAAATCCTACGATTCTCGGCTGGTTTTCCAACATGCTCGATATACAAAAGTCGTGCGACCGTACATTAGGAACGGTCGCACACCTTCCATACACTGCACAATTCTCGTACGATCGTGGGATTTCCCACGATTCTCGTATGAGAATCGTCAGTGTTTGGGCACCTTAAAGGAGATGGTCAAATCAGATTGTATTCTGTATGGTCCACTTTAGATGGCTAAATAAGATGAGTTTTCTTTGATTTTCATACAAAAAAACTTTTTGTTTTACAAAGACAGAAGAATTATGGACAAAAGCATTAATATCCTAGCCATATTTGTTTGCTCATGAAGTCATTCTCCAATCCATTTTGATGGTTCAGAGATAAAATACGAGGTAATATTTAATGAAAATTGCATCACAGTTGTTGTTACTTGTATGTCTAACCATACTTCAAATTTGATTTAATTATGCTTCTATTGCTTTTTCTTGCTCTGATGCATACATCTCACAGTGCTGCTGCACCACGCCTGAATGATGTGCTTGCACTTTGTCTGCACACATTAAATATGCTTGTATCTTTGTAAATAATTTACCAAGTTATTTATGTAGTTACAAAACAGCAATAAAACATGCAGTGGCAAAATACCGACATCTACATTTGTGAAAAATCACCATACATGTTCATATTTTGTTTTAGTTGTTGTTTTCTGTTATCAAGCAAGTTAACAGGTATGTTTACAACATTTAGGAGGTTATTCACAAAGCTGCCAAAGGCAGCCGTGTGAATAACCGACCCGAAGTGAAGTGAGCCGAACGCTGTTTGGCTATTCACTTCAGGCTTGTACAGCTGATTTCACTTCAGGATTGTATGGCATTGGGCTCGGCTATTCTGCTCGGTACCTCTGTGGTACTGAGCAGAATAGAAAAACAGTTAAAAAAAGTAGAAAGAAAAATTGAAAATGATTGGGCGGAACTAGCAGTAATAGCTAGCCCCGCCCAACTTTTTCTATTGGCCGGGACCAGCTGTCATTACAATGAGAGCTTGTCAGAGCCGGCGGTGTGCCGGCTCTGCTAAGTTCTCATAATACTGACAGATCAGCGTCCCCTGGTTACCAAGTAACCAGGTGACGCTGAACTGTCAGTACCATGAGAGCTCAGCAGATTTGGCTTTCATATCACCTCCGGCTCTGCTAAGCTCTCATTGTAATGCAGGCGGGAGAGAGCACCCTCCTGAAATGATGGCAGATAGCAGAGGAAGCAATAGCTTCTTTGCTATCTGCAAGTTTCTTTTTTTTTGTATTCTGACAGCTGCTGCCGTCAGAATAAAAAAAAAAATCAGCATTGGAATGCATAGCTAGATTTCTATTGGCTATTTCAATTTGCAATATCCAATAGCAAGCAGGCTATTGCACCCACCCTCTACTGCTGTCAATCACTAGAAGAGGACCTGATGGAGAACTTCAGGTCCCCTCTGCTGATTGACAGCAGCAGTGGGCGGGTGCAATAGCTAGTTTGCTATTGGCTATTGCAAAGTGAAATAGCCAATAGGAATGTAGCTATGCATTCCTATGCTGTTTTTTTTTCTGACTGACGGCAGCTCCAATGTCAGAAGAAAAAACAAACAAACAACAGAGCAGGGAAAGATTTACTCTGCTCGATCGAGCAGAGTAAACCTTTCCGGGAGAAAGTGTCTCTCTCCTGGGCGGCCAGGAGCCATTCTCTAATAGCGGGAGACTCCCGGAGCGTCCGGGGGAGTAATGACAGATCAGCGTCCCTGGTTAACTGATAACCAGGTGAAGCTGATCTGTCTCTGCAAGTGGCCGGAGCCAGACGTGAGATGTCAGCTGTCAGTAGCAGGCTGAGTGCACCCACACAGATTATATATTGTTTTTTAGTGGACAGATAGGGCTATATATTTATATCACATATGTGTGCCTAACACCTCACTTAAGATGAACAAAATATAAAAAAGAGGAAAAAACGTAAAGAAAACACTTTTTCCCCAGTTTTGATTATTATTTTTTAGAAAAATAGCACAGCTAAAAAAATGCATTCAAATAAATTCATTTATTTGTCTTTTATTTGGAAACACCTCACATCCCTAGGATTTTAGAAAATTGTCTGTACTTCTCAGCCTAAAACTAAAAGCTAACATTGTATTTTTTTTCTCTAAAAGCTGATAGTGGTCACCTTGCATACAATGTCACTGTCACTAAGGGGTCTATTCACTAAGCTGCCGTAGGCAGCCGAGTGAAAGACCGGCCTGAAGTGAAGTGAGCCAAACGCTGTTCGGCTATTCACTTCAGGCTTGTACGGCTGATTTCAGCCGTATATTGGCTGAAGGGACCCAGCAGAACAAAAAAATAGTTAAAAAAGTAAAAAAAAATAGAAAACGATTGTGCGGAGCTAGCAAAGAACGCTAGCTCTGCCCAATAGTTTTCTATTGGCCGGCGGGTCTGCTGCCGTAAAAAAAAAAAAACTCTCCCAGGCGCTCTTGGAGTCTCTCGCTCCCAGCCGCCCAGGAGAGAAACACTGAGCCATGTCAGAATAAAGCTGTGTCCCTCTGCTGATGGACCTGATGGAGCACTACAATGCTAGTTTACTATTGGCTATTGCAAATTGAAATAGCCAATAAGGACCCAGCAGAACAAAAAAATAGTTAAAAAAGTAAAAAAAAATAGAAAACGATTGTGCGGAGCTAGCAAAGAACGCTAGCTCTGCCCAATAGTTTTCTATTGGCCGGCGGGTCTGCTGCCGTAAAAAAAAAAAAACTCTCCCAGGCGCTCTTGGAGTCTCTCGCTCCCAGCCGCCCAGGAGAGAAACACTGAGCCATGTCAGAATAAAGCTGTGTCCCTCTGCTGATGGACCTGATGGAGCACTACAATGCTAGTTTACTATTGGCTATTGCAAATTGAAATAGCCAATAGGAATCTAGCAGTGTATTCCTATGGGCAAAAAAAGATTTCTTAATTTTTTTATTCTGACACGGCTATTTTTCTAATCTGGCAGAAAAAAAAGAAAAAGAAGTGTTTCTCACCTGGGCGGCCAGGGAACGGGAGACTCCCGGAGCGCCCGGGAGAGTTTGCTGTCTGGAGATCAGTGTCCCTGGTTAGCAGGTAACCAGGGACGCTGATCTCTCTGGAAGTGAACACTGTCATGAGGGGGTTACATTAAAAAAATGACCCCCTTAGGGTGAAAAACAAATCTGCATCTCAGCTGCAGATTTTCATTGTAAGGGGTTATTTTTTATACTATTGATAGTATAAAACATATTTTTTTAAATATAATTTGTATTTTTTAAATATATTTTTATTTTTTTACACTTATTTTCCACCATTTTGTAAAACATTTGTTACACTTTTATTTTTAATTATATCAAGCAGTCATTGTGAATGAATCTCACTATGACTGCTTGCTAATTTAATTAATGCAATTTTGGTTATTATTAGGCTGCTCCAAACTTAGGAACAGCCAATAATACCATTAGTAATACTGATCCTCACAGCATTTTAGGGTCAGTGTCACTAAAGGCTTCTGATTGTTCCCAGAATGATCAGAAGCCTGCAACATTGTTTCAGAATAGAAACATGTAGCTAATTGTTTCTATTCTGAAAAAAACTGGTATACATTGGGATCTCCTAATACTGATCTATACCAGCTGTCAAACAATGACAGCAAGTGCAGTAAATACCTCAATACTGAGGCAACCATTTGTGAACGGTAACCGCTGATTCTCAGTGGTTACTGTCATTGCAGATCCCCAAATAGCTGCTCACACACATTGTATGTGAGCAGTCATTTGGGCACTTAGTGGTGGATATGTACAGTGTATATCTTCCATTACAAAGGGGTTAAGGTAAAAAGCAGAGACCACCTTGGGCAAAAAGGAGGTCCAAAAACAACCTTGTTTTTGTGTAAGATCAAATGAAGGCTACTTAGATGACAAGGCTCATAACCTTGTAGCCGTAGTAATGGCCTCAAGGAATGCTACCCTACAGGATAACAACATGAAAGAAATGCATACGTTTAATCAGGGATCTTTGTAACACTGACAGAACTAAGTTGGGGCCAAACCGCCCCAAGAATTGTATGTTCCATGATAAACCTTGCTGTAAGTAGGTTAATTAGCTATAAGCATGGTTGGGATAACATAATCCACAATGCATCTGTCTCTCGGAACTTGTGTTTTAATAGCCAAGCCATAAGTCAAAGTCAGCAACCAAAAAGCAGGGTAGAAGATTGGTCCTTGGGATAACAGATCTGGCTGATTTGGTAGAGGCCACAGACTGTCAGCTATCAGACAAATAAGGTTGGCATACCACACTTTGCCAGGCCAATCCAAAACTATGAGAATTATTGGAGTGCCCCCGCCTTTCAATCCATCCAAGCAGGCAAGGTAGTAGCTTAAGGCATCAAGCAGGGCATACTGAACCCATAGCACTACCAATATATCTGCTTTTACTGTTCTTTGGTTCTACTACCTGGAAACAAATTTACCCAGCTCCTTGTTGAACCTATATATTAACAGATCCACATCCCATGTCCCCCAATGCAGACATACAGTATGTCTTGACACAGCTCCTAAAAGAAAGACCAGTTCCCTGGGTTTAGATGTTTTCTGTGGAGAAAATCTGCCTGCCAGACCAACAACTTTGAACAGACAATTGCATTTTTTGGTTGGAAGAACAGGAACAATAACTCTCTGGTTTAAGAATCCCAATCCCGTGCTTCATTGCTAAAACATGGGAAGATGCAAAATCAAAGAATTGAGGTCGAGGACAAAGGTAAAACTCTATTTTGTAACATGTGGATACTACCTCCATTAATTCAAGCACTGACTATGCGAGCTTCTCAAATCTCAATACCCTCCGTACTCATCTCTTGCATATACTGCTCACTGTCATACCCTCTGCAATCCTTACCTGCACATACTGACCACTGTCACATCCTCTGCACCCCTCTTCTGCATGATCTGCACACTATCATACCCTCTGCACTTCTCTCCTGCACATACTGCCTGTACTTATGCACTCTGGACTCCTCTCCTGCACATCTTACCAATAAAACACTTCTTTAACATTGTATAATATGCCTGTTATGGAATGGCATGCATTTGCTACTTTGATAAAATGTGATTAATAAAGATTTACATTTCAACTGTCACAGGCAGGGAGACTAGTGTTCTAGAGGGCTCTTGTCAGTGCCCACTACATTACAGATTGGCAGCAAAAAATAAATATTTCCAAAGTCTTGAGCAGGCAGCTGACAGTGAAAATGTTTTTTAGATACCGCAATGCCAAAGCAAATCATATATCTCTGACCTTAAAGCAGGCAAGAAGGCTAATGATTTAAAAGTGAAGATACTGTCATACATTTGTCAACATATGTGTACTTCAGTCTTGAGGACTATGAGCAGGAAAAAAATGAAATCAAATAAATCACCACAGGGTGAGCTTTCACCTGCTGGTAGCAGACTGGGAGACAGACAAAAAGGGGAACCTGTTGTCTCCTTCATGTGTTTCACACTTTTGACAGTAAAACTACAAGAAATATATATTACAAAGGAGGGAGGCAGTCCAACATAGTTCTACAAAAAAAACAAAACACTTTTATGTCATTAGCAGGGATTGATTTCAATCACAGATGCCCATAGGCAGACAACCTTTGAAGCCCAAAGCAAAGCACTTGCTAGGATCACTATTTTTTACAAAAAAATATTTGTTTTGTTTTACTGGCTCTAACCTTAATCAGAATATTTGAAAGATGTAACTTTGCAAAAGGTGACTGTATTTCTACTGAAGATTTCTATGCCTCATAAAGCTGTCTATACTTTGCATATGTGATCATGTGCAAGTAAATTGAAAAAGTATAAGTGTGCCCTTCACATGATTGAAGTAAATCAAGTAAAAACCCATTCTCCTCTCCCATTAGATTATCACAATGACTTCCTTATACCTCTTATAGCATGTATGTTTTGCAGATCACTTATTTAATTGGATTAGTCCTCCTATAGAGAAAAATAAATCACATCGACCAAGTCATTCTGACTTATTTTCCTGTTGTTCAATATGTAGTATAGATGTATACTTTAGACTGACTTTTTTACCTTTGGAAGGGAGGTCCGAGATCCAGAGCTCTGTGTTGTCATAGTAAGCACTGTCGTTATACCTAGAGCAACTCTAGCTGGAGCTGCATCCATATTGATCCAAAAGGACACCCACGATAAAATGACAATCAAAAGACTGGGAATGTACATCTGAATCAGGTAATACCCCATCTGCCTCTCTAGATGGAAACGAACTTCAATGCATGTAAACTTTCCTTGGTGAAGATAAGAATGAGAAAGATGAAAAAGGGAAAAAAATTACATTTAGAATACCCACTAAAAAATAAAATAACATTTAGAATATTCATTTAACAAATCAGTAATGATAAAAATGCTTTCCATTAGAAATGTTTTTTCCATAGAATTCTACTGTACAAGTATGAAGATGTGATTTGGACCGCTCAAGCTCCATCTCTTTTTTTCTATCTCCCTCTCATTGTTAAAGGAGAATTATAACCTAAGGGCACATAAATATATTCCTTACCTTTACTGTATTAGCATTCTTCTTCTTTTCCAAAGTCGCAACACATCCCAGATAAATGAATCTCAACTCACAGAAAATGGCCACCTGCATCCCTGCTCCAAGCTCCTTTCCTCTTAAGTGGCGTTTACAGTCAATGCAGCGCACCCTCAGCTGTTTTTTCCCAATCGCTAATCTGCTGTGGTCGCACCTTCTCCAATCTTGCACAGCTGTGTGTGTGGCCACAGCGTGCATGCTGACACATAGGAGAGGGAGGCGGAGTCTCAAGTGAGAAGACTCAGCGACAAGAGATGATAAGAACCATTGACTCAGTCTCCGCCGTACTCTCACCTCTGTTTCCTTTCTCTCTAACCGTCTTTTCCCCTCTCTCTTACCACACTTTCCCCTCTCTCTCACTTGTCACTACAATGCCAGCAGCCACCAACATCATAGCAACTAGTAATCAGATGGTTGTCAGCTTGTTTCTCTTTGTGAACAAACTGGCAGTCATTCCCAGTGACATTATTCACCATATATGGCCTTGCTCGTATGTAGTAAATTATGCTATACAGTAGGGATGTTCAGATACCAAGTACCGTACTCGGTACAAGAACAAGTACATGTACAGATACTTTTCCAGCTCCAGGACTAGATTAGAGAAAAATTCAAAAGTTAGAAGGCAGCTGTCATTTGTAAGGAGCATACAAAGCTCCTGGGATTTGTACATCCCCATTTTAATGCATTATTCTTTTTAATAAATATATATAAGTGATGCACCGATACCATTTTTCCAAGTACAAGTACTGATACTTGTCCAAGTACTCACAGATACAAGTACTGATACATTTTTTGTTTATTGTCATGTGACAGTTTTTCTAAAACAATACAGACTAATGATTTCAGGACAGTGGTGGAGAGCCAAAGCCCGGTCCCAGCTGCAACCGCTGCAACCCTGGCAGTTCTCGTGAAAATGCCAAGTATCGGCACTGGTATCTGAATTGGTACCTGGCCATCCCTACTATACAGCATCTCCCAGCTGGCAGATGCATACAGTCTTCTTCTGACTGGGAGCTTATAGCAGCAGAGATGGAACTTCATGTGACCCTTTTTTTTTTTTGGTTGCATTTTTTTTGGCACATGGAACGTTCATTTTTTGTGCACTGCTGCACATGGAGAAGGCGGGGACAGAGGAAGGAGATGGGGAGGCAGGTGGGAGAAGAAAGAGTAAACAGCCGCAAGTGCCTGGAAGGCGGTCACAGAGGACGGGAACCTGGAGGTAGGGAGAGAGCTGGGGCCAGAGCTGCTGCGCATGCCCATATATTCATGGACACGCAGCAGCTCTCAAGAAGAGCCGTCAGCCACAGTGATGAGAGATCAGTGGGGAGGATCCCAACAGTATTGTCGGGATCTCTCCTCACTGAGGAGCTTAGCCTGCCCACCTTGTTAAAGAAGCTACAATATATCATGCTTAGGGTGCATTTTGGATTATAGGACTAAATTGCAATATTTACTCCTAGCCTAAGGAATCCAACATTAAAGATTCACTTCTATCCCATAGTTCTCCTTTAATTGTTTGTATCTCAAAGAAACTAACAATAAGTTAATACAGCAACGTATTTCAGATCTATTCTAAATTTGCAGGATACCAGAACAGATCAGAAGCTTCCTGACCCAAATCTATTCTTTTTTTTGAGAAGGCATTTTTTGTTGCATTATATAAAATAATACACCAACTCAACAAGTCACCAATGAGCTGCAAAATACTGTTTTTCATTTAAATAAAAGTTACAATTCCATTTTCCTTTATTTTATGATTTTTAGAATGAAATGACATTTAATTAAAAAAAAAATATATATATATATATCCTATGTAACACGTGACAACTAAACCCTGA